GAATTCAGTGACGTGTGGGTCCTGGTCTTGCAGGAGATTTATATTGAAGTCACCTGAAAATAGTAAGTGATCTTTGTTCATGCGTGCATCAGTTATCATACTTCCTAGGTTTTCATTAAAACGGCTAATGTTTGACTGTGGTACTCTGTAGATGTTTATCACTGTGAGAGGTTTTTGTAGGTATTTGGATTTGAATTTAGCTATTATATATTCCCCATGTTCATCCCTTGTGCAAGTATTAGTGATATATTCTAGTTGGTCTGAGTAGTATATAGCTGTGCCACCCCCTTGTTGATCTGGCCTACAGTTGTGTATGGCTGTGTAACCAGGAATGGCATAGACATCTGTAGTATCAGGCTTTAACCAGGTTTCAGTGAGAGTAATGATGGATATACTGGCATGCAGGGAATTTAGTAATGCTATGAGGTCATCATAGTGTTTGCTTAAAGATCTGAGATTGCAGTTAAAGACAGTTATGTTGTTGTTGGCTCTGAGAAGTGCCTTTGATTGTTCTGCTGTGTAGTAATTACAGTTACTGTTTGATTCATTTAAGTCATTCAATAAGAGGTTGGTATCAGGATCAGTGCTTGTTATCATAAGATTTATAGTGAATCTATAGTTAGAATTAAGTATAAGACAAAGGACAAAGTAAATATTCTAAAGCTATAAAATAGCACCTGAATTATTTTAACAAATGTAAAAATTTGAGCTAAGGTAGTTCTTTAAAGCTAAAATAAAGGAGACAATATAAAGGGACTAAAAAAATTTGTGGTGAACAAATAAAGTGGTAATCAAATAAATGAGCTAGGGAATATAATGGCAAAATAGTGAACTTATTACACTTTATATTAATAAACTTAAGTTGAAGGAATCATACAGGAGACAAGAATCACAGGAAGAACTAAAAGCCATAAAGGAAATTTAAAAAAAAAAAAAAAAACTTCTTCTCTTATGCCAAATCTAAGGGAAAAACAACATCCAGTTTGGGCCCCTGCTTAGGTGAGATGGGACATACACGGATGACAGCCAAGAAATGAGTGAGATACTAAAGTCCCAGTACAACTCATTGTTCAGTGAGCCACTACCCAGACTAAGGGTCAACAAGCCAAATGAATTCATTATGAATGAAACCCAAAATTTGGTCATCTCAACAATTTCGGATATTATCCTAACACCACAAGACTTTGAAAAGGCAATAAATGACACGCCCATGCACTCTGCCCCAGGCCCAGACTTGTGGAACTCCATGTTCATCAAGACCTGCATGAAGCCAGTGTTACATGTGTTCAGCATTCTATGGAGAGGGAGCATGGACACGGGTCATCCCACACTCACTAAAAACAACAGACATAGCTCCACTCTACAAAGGTGGCAGTAAAGCAATTGCAAAGAACTGATAGCACTAACATCCCATATCATAAAAAAAATTTGAAAGGGTTCTAAGAAGCAAAATCGCCAACCACCTAGATACCCATCAGTTACACAACCCAGGGCAACGCAGGTATAGAGCAGGTCGCTCCTGCCTGTCCCAGCTACCAAACCATTATGACAAGGTCCTGGATGCTGTAGAGGATAATCAAAATACAGATGTAGTGTACACAGACTTTGCAAAAGCCTTTGACAAATGTGACCATGGTGTAATAGCACACAAAATGCGTGATCAAAGAATAACAGGAAAAGTTGGTAGATGGATCTATAACTTCCAGACAAATAGTACATAGCTCAGTGTCTTCCTTTGTGGATGACACCCGAATTGCCATGACAGTGACCCCCATCGAAGACACCGCACGACTCCAAGTGGACATCAACCAGATCTTCAAATGGGCCACTCAAAACAATTTGAAGTTAAGTGAAAAGAAATTTCAACTACTCAGATATGGAAAACTTGAGGAAATTAAAACTGTATTAAGGTATACAACAAATTCTAACCATACAATAGAGCAAAAAAGTAATGTGAAGGACCTGGAAGTGATAATGTCAGAGGATCTCACCTTCAAAGACGACAACAATGTATCTACTGAACCTGCTAGGAAAATGATAGGATGGATAATGAGAACCTTCAAAACAAGGGACGCCAAGCTCATGATGATTCTCTTCAGATCGCTTGTTCTCTCTAGGCTGGAATACTGCTGTACACTAATTGCTCCCTTCAAGGCAGGCAAAATTGCTGATCTGGAGAGTGTACAAAGAACTTTCATGGCACATTTAAGTATGATAGGGCACCTAAATTACTGAGAATGGTTGAAGTCCCTTGATTTGTATTCCCTGGAATGCAGGCGAGAGATACATGATTATATACACTTGGAAAATCCTAGATGGATTAGTACCAAACTTGCACATGAAAATCACTCCCTATGAAAGCAAAAGACTCAGCAGAAGATGCAACATTCGGCCAAAAAAAAAAAAAAGCAGGGGTGCCACAAGTACACTGAGAGAGAACGCAATAAGTGTCCGGGGTCCAGGACTGTTTAACTGCCTCCCAGCATCCATAAGGGGAATTACCAATAGACCCCTGGCTGTCTTCAAGAAGGCACTGAACAGGCACCTAAGGTCAGTACCTGACCAGCCGGGCTGTGGTTTGTACGTCAGTTTACATGCGGCCAGCAGTAAGAGCCTGGTTGATCAGACGCTGATCCACCATGAGGCCTGGTCTCAGACCGAGTCGCCGGGGCGTTGACCTCTGAAACCCTCTCCAGGTATACTCCAGGTAACATCAAAATTATTAATCTTATAAACTTTCAAATTTTTACTACCTTGCATTAGTAATAAGATTAAATATTGTATAATTACAAATTAACCACTTTCATTTTGTCTAGACTTAAGTATGTAGACTTTATTTATTTATTTATTTATTTATTTATTCATTTGAACATGATACAGTGAAGTACAAAAGAATACAGTTAAATGCGGTAGATTCGTCTGCCATAAATGCTCTGGCATGATAGTGACTTTCTTTGTACCTAACTCATCAAAAATGTAATTACACATTGTAACCTTTGCAAAGAAATAATTCTTTGTCTTTGTCTTTGACATAAGCAGTAAATGTAGCATCAGATCAGTTGTTCATCACCTTGTGCATGAAATGAGAATTAATGACCCCTTGATTTAACAGATTAATGGGGAGAGAAGTTGGCTGGTAATGTTGATGAGATTGTTGTGCCAACATTTTTGTAGCCAGTGGATTTTGTTGTTTGTTTTCACATCAGTTAACTCAGTAAATTTTGTCCCATATTTCTGAAGTCTGCTAAATTGAGGCCCATTAAATAATAAATAGTAGTAAACTTTATTTCTATGAAGTATGGGTTACAATTGATTCAGAGCATTTTGGGCAGGCTTAAAATAACATTTTGGGCAGCCTTAAAATAACATTTTGGGCAGCCTTAAAATAACATTTTGGGCAGCCTTAAAGTAACATTTTGGGCAGCCTTAAAATAAACTTATAACTACTATTGTAATTTTTTGTAAGAACAATTTGTTGGAAGTTGTAGTAAAATAATTTGCTATAATATTGTGGAGGTTATTTCAAATGTTGGTCAAATAAAATGTGGATACTAATCTAAATTTCAGTATTACTGCACAGAATATACATTAAACTGACCTGTAACACATCTAATGATCATATATACAAATTACAGCACTGTTATTGCCTTATTAATACTAAGTTAGTCTTAAGTTTGCCTGAAATGCTCTGCACATATTCACCCAATTGTTATACTCCTTTGTACAAACATGTATCATGCTAAAATAAAATTATCATTTTTTTTTATTAACACATCGGCCATTTCCCACCAAGGCAGGGTGGCTCGAAAAAGAAAAACTTTCATCATTCACTCCATCACTGTCTTGCCAGAGGCATGCTTACACTACAGTTATAAAACTGTAACATTAACACCCCTCCTTCAGAGTGCTGGCACTGTACTTCCCATCTCCAGGAATCAAGTCCAAAAATTATTATTATTATTATTATTATTATTATTATTATTATTATTATTATTATTATTATTATTATTATTATTATTATTATTAAGGCTCATGGTATGCATAGCATCTCGGGCTGAACTTAGCCTGTGCTGTACTTAAAATTTACTCAGTTAATTCATAATAAATATCACAAAAAGACGACGGAATTCTGTTCCTAAGACCAAGTCAGTAAATGAATTTGTCGCTAAATGAATTTGTCGCTAAGTGAGGAGCATACTATAATGGTAGTGGATTTGTGTCACCCATCTTTGATACTGTTTTAATGTCACCTTTGCACCATTTATAATATTTCTGGTATATTTTTAAATGTTTAAACAGCAGTGTACTGTACATTGTAATAAACAGAATAGAAGAAATCAGCTCTAATGTACATTATTTAGGTATGCATACTGGTCAGAGAGCCCTTCGTAAGTCTGAGTCGTCGTTAGACGAGTACATCACTAAGTGAGGAGAGGCTGTATTGTGTAACAAACACAGAGTCAACCTATTCTCCAATTAGAGAAAGCAATTTCCTCTGAATTGTTGTATGAAAGCAGTACAGTATATATTTGCAGTTAATTGATGCTTAGGTAACATTTATGAAGTTATTCAATGAAGCTGGTTAGCTGGAAATACAGTGCCTGCAGTTCAGAGGGCCATCTGAACTATGATGTTGGCACACTTATGGCAATATAAGAAATGAATTAATAATAGTGAATGTGTTTTCCTTTTTTTTGGGTCACTAACTTGATGGGAGATGACTGGAGTGTCAAAAAGTTTGTAGTTTATTGCAGTTTAGGTAAAGTAAAGGTTTAGGTAAAGGTAAAGTACTGTAGTGAGGAGTAACTTGATTATTAAATTCTTGGATGAAAGGACACAATTGCATACATTGAAGGACATATTTATTGGATATGTTTCAGTCCTATGACCAAGTCCCAGGACTGAAACATGTCAGTATATCTTCTACATCCATTTGTTAAATTCATATAAATGAATGTTCTCATATGTTCACTTAGTACCTTTTATTGTTTTATTTTCAGAATAATGCCAGTCCAGAAGAGAGTATTGCCCCTTAGCAATTTATGTATTCAGATAATAACACAACTACTCATTGAAATAATATCAATGCACCACCATGAATCTAATAGCAAGACAGAAATTTCTAAAGACACTCAAGAGCAACAAGATAGCAGCCACGAAGGACACCAGCATCCTGAAAACATTAAAGCAGAGGACAATCATATAGAAATCTCTGAGCAAGAAGCAGCACCATTTTTTCCTAACCAGCAGAACAGTGAAGAAGGGAAGATGTATGACAATGGACAGCAAAATATTGAACAAGCAGAAACATGTAGTAGTATCCCCAAAAACTCTGAACAAAAAATAATGCTTAGCCAAATCATCACTAACGAGGACACACACGATCAGTTCAGAGAGTCAGAGACTGGTCTTGACCAGTCTCTGACTGGGTCATTCAGTAGTATAAGAAGTACCTTGGAGGAGAAAAATGCAGCCCAAATAATTGAAAAGGAAATTAAAAAAGAAAACAGTGAGTACATTATATGAAATTGATGGCAGTGTTCTCTATATTTTCACTAAAACCTATTGTAAAATTTTATTCATAAGAGTTCTGTTAAATTCTTAAAGCACCCTTGATGCTGGGGCATTGTACTGTGATAGCAGGGTATGAGCAGTCTGACTACTTGATTAAAAACCCACTAAGCCATTTTTGTCACAGTTTGCTGTAATATATAGCCTGTCACTTGTATCAAATTATGGATATGAATTTGTCTGCAAAAAATACTCCAAGAATTTTTTGATTAGCCTAAATTGCTTTCAACAAATTGGCCGCATCCCCTGAGGCAGGATTTACAGTACATATTTATTATATGATAATAAATTAGCCAAGATAGCTATAAATTGGTAATGATAGAAGTAATTAGTACAGATAAAGGATTACTCCTACCATCCATGTCTTTTGGTTCAAAGTAGAATGACATGGAGAGTGTATAAATCTGTAGAGGAAGGAAGGCAGGGTAGGGGTCATCCTCAAAAAGGTTGGAGGGAGGGGGTAAAGGAGGTTTTGTAGGCGAGGGGCTTGGACTTCCAGCAAGTGTGCATGAGCGTGTTAGATAGGAGTGAATGGAGATGAATGGTATTTGGGACCTGACGAGCTGTTGGAGTGTGAGCAGGGTAATGTTTAGTGAAGGAATTCAAGGAAACCGGTTATTTTTACATAGCCGGACTTGAGTCCTGGAAACAGGAAGTACAATGCCTGCACTTTAACCCCTTGACTGTCGCAACCCCAAATCCTGAGGTGTCTTCTGGTGTCGCAAAAATCCTCCCTCCCCTCCCCCCTCCCCTCCCCCCCTCCCCTCCCCCCTCCCCCTCCCCTCCCCCTCCCCCTCCCCTCCCCCCCCTCCCCTCCCCCTCCCCCCTCCCTCCCCCCCCCCTCCCCTCCCCCCCCCTCCCCCCGAAAAAAAAATTATTATTTTTTCTTATGAAATGATAGACAATCTTTTCCTGATTGTAGTGATACCAAAAGAACAAAATTTGATGGAAAACTGACAGAATTACGCTCTCGAAAGTTAGCGACCTCGGCGATATTTGCAAATCGGCGATTTCGCCCACTTTGAGCCCTATTTTCGGCTAATTCCATTGTTCCAGTCGATCAGATTCATAGCTATTTCTTTAGAAATCCATTTTTTCTATCAGTTGAGTACAAGAAACTGCCATTTACCAATTCCAACTACCCAATAATGTGGTCAGAAATTTACAATTTGGCCAGTTCCACGAAAATTAAAAAATGACAATTTCAAAATAGGGTCCAGAATGAACAGTACAGACATTTTCTTTGTTCATCAGTCATGTCTCCAGACCCCTCTGATATTACTCTTGCTTTTTATTTTGAATTTTTATTCCAACAAAAAATTGAAGATTTACTATTATGCAGACTACTGCAATATTGTAATAATTGTATAAATAATGTCAACCCATTCATGACTGCATATTAGAATGGCTACTTGGACATTTATTGGAAAATGACATCATTTGTTTACTTTTAAACATCGGCAAGAATCAAACATTTCCCCTACTTTGAGCTCCGTTTCAAGGTTCTTTTCATAGTAATACCAATCAAAATCAAATGAGACCAAGAAAATGAGAATACAACCATAAATACTATACGAAAATAAACCACAAAGTCGGCATTTTAATTAAAAAAAATGGTCGGAGTTTTTTTTCTCTCATTATGCACTGCGTGCTGCAGGATTTTTTTTTTATATGGTGCACACTGACCACACAGACCCATTCTCTCACATGTGGGCCTACCAGCTTTCTCCTGCTTGAAGTCGCTAGAATTTATGAGTATATATACGTCAAAAACGGTGGCTCGTAAGACGTATATATATATATGACCAAAACAGTCAAAGGGTTAAAGGAGGGGTTTGGGATATTGACAGTTTGGAGGGATATGTTGTGTATCTTTATACATATATGCTTCTAAACTGTTGTATTCTGAGCACCTCTGCAAAAACAGTGATTATGTGTGAGTGAGTTGAAAGTGTTGAATGATGATGAAAGTATTTTCTTTTTGGGGAGTTTCTTTCTTTTTGGGTCACCCTGCTTTGGTGGGAGACAGCGGATTTGTTAAAAAAAAAAAAAAACTGAAAATTCTTAACGTTCATAGTATAATAACATTCATATAATACTGTGCATGCTGTATGTTCCTCGGATGATTTGTATCATATGTACACTCTTTATGAGAGAAATTTATTGTTTTTTATAAATAAATTTCTGTACAGCTGTTTATATATTCTTTCTCAAACTGACATTATTAATATCAGTTTCATCACCAATTTGTGGCTGGGTATTTTTCTGACTCTTTGGAAATAAGCTGGAAAAGGTTTGCTTTTCAAGTGGTACAGTAGGGCCCCAGTTTACGGCATTCCACTAATATGGACATTTCTAATTATGACCAAAACTTGCTGTAACAGCTCCCCCACCTGACTCTTTAATATGGTCACCACATGCCACCTGGTTTGTTTACATTCTTCATGAGCCCATCTCTCCATTGTGTCTGGAAACTTTCCAAAATTTCAAGTGCTTTAAAATTATTTTATGTTTTATAAATACAGTGGACCCTCGCCTAATGATATTAATCCGTTCCTGAGAGCTCATCGTTAGCCGAAATTATCGAATTAATTTTCCCCATAAGAAATAATGGAAATCAAATTAATCCGTTCCTGACACCCCAAAGTATGAAAAAAAAAGTTACCACATGAAATACACATTTTTATGCTCCCAAAAAAGAAGACATGCACAATTACTACTCTACTAAATTAGGAATACATGACACTTACCTTTATTGAAGATCTGGTGGTGATTGATGGGATGGGAGGAGGGGAGTGTGTGGAAGTTGTTATTGTTTGGAAGGGGAATCCCCTTCCATGAGGACTTGAGGTAGCAAGTCCTTTTCTGGGGTTACTTCCCTTCTTCTTTTAATGCCACTAGGACCAGCTTGAGTCACTGGACCTCTGTCACACAACAAATCTGTCCATAGAGCTCTGTACCTCCCGTTCCTTTAAGATTTGCCTAAAATGAGCCACAATGTTGTCATTGTAATAGTCACAAGCACGGCTTGCAATAGCTGTGTTAGGGTGATTTTCATCCATAAAGGTTTGCAGTTCAATCCACTTTGCACACATTTCCTTAATCTCTTTTTTCAATTCCATACTAATTCTTGCCCTTTTTACCACAGGGTTAGCACTAGAAGCTTTCTTGGGGTCCATGGTGACTTATTTTGCAGTTACAAGCACTAAAAACACTGGGGTAATGTGAAATGTACCGAATGCATGCGTAGATGCGACTGCATTGGCTGGCTTGTAAACACTGGCACCCATGGGGCAGCGTGGACAGGTCCTGGACAAATCACGTTGGGCGAGTTTTTTATCGTTAGGTGGGGCAAAATTTTTACGCTCAAACACTTCATCAGGCGGATTTAACGTTATGCGATGCGTTCATTAGGCGAGGGTCCACTGTACTTTGATAATTATACTTATGTGTACCAGTACCTAAATAAACTTGCTTACTGGACTGGCCTGCAGGCACACATTAAAATCACTAAGAGTGTCTTATTTGTCTTGAAGACATCATATTAATAATGATAATAATAATACACAATAATAATCATACTTAGGAACATTAAATGCTCCTCCCTTAAGTGAATGTAACTGACCTGACTAGGTCAAGGCATTGGCTTAAGCCAGTGGGAGAATTGGACCTGCCTCGCATGGGCCAGTAGGCCTGCTGCAGTGTTCCTTCTTTCTTATGTTCTTATATTACATTAACCCGTAAACGGTCCAAACGTATATATACGTTTTTACCGCTAGTGCCCCAAACGTGTATATACGTTTTATGTGTCCTACATTTAACATTGCCACGATAAGCCTGAGTCGCCTAGACATGTGAGAATGGGTGTGAGCACTCACTGTGCACCATATTAAAATAATTGGGGATGCCTGGGTACCATATGCTCTTTTCTCCTATTAAAAAACAACAATGTTTTTTTTTTTTCTCAAAAAAGTTGGGGCAGTATGGTAGTGAACGTATATATACGTTTGGACCGTTTATGGGTTAATACAGTGGTCCCTCGCTTTTTGTAGTTCTCGGCAATCGTAAATTTCGCCAATCATAGGGGTATTTTCATATAAACATGGACTCGCTTTTCATAGGTTGACTCGCGAATAGTAGTTCGTCCGGGACGCGTACGCACGGTGTGAGCCGGGGCGGCCTCCCTCCCCAGCCAGTCTGGCATTGTTTACCAGTGAGTGAAGGTCCCCTCAAGTGCTCCTATGAAATATTTCATAATATTTCACTCATTTTAGTGCTTGCAAGTACTAAATAAGCTACCATGGCTCCAAAGAAAGCTCCTAGTGCCAAGCCTGTGGTAAAGAAGGTGAGAAATATGTACAGTGACAAAGTCTTGGTCCATTTTAGGGAAGTGTTAAAGAGACGCCAGAAACAGAGCTCTCTCCACAGTTACTTTGCGAGACAGGACTAGAGTGACTCTCAAGGTGGTCCTAGTGGCATTAAGAAACAGAGAAGAGAAGCAACCCCAGAGAAGCAATTTATTTATTTATTTATTTATTTATTTAGTAATTTTAGCATACATACAGAGGTACAAAAAAATACAGGTAAGAGCAGCATGCCAAAGCCACTTACGTATATGCATAGCATTATGGGCTGGCTTAAAATTAACTTAAGATTAACTAAGCAATGATGAAATCAGTGATAAAACATTATTGTAAACAGATAACTATAAAGCACAAATGAGTATTACAAAGACAGGTCATATGGTTGCATGCATTGCTGTACATTCAGTCGAATGGAGTATTCTGTTAGGTTTTACCTGGAGTTTACCTGGAGAGAGTTCCGGGGGTCAACGCCCCCGCGGCCCGGTCTGTGACCAGGCCTCCTGTCACAGTGTATTTAAAAAAATAACAAAGTTAGATTGGGTCCTAGGTTTAACATTTGTGTGATATAATTGTGAGTAACATATAGGATATACAATTTATAAGGTTCAGTTATTCAGTATTTATTTGGTTTTGAGTGAGTAAGTGATCTTTGAGAAGAGACTTGTATTTATAAACAGGTAGTGTTTCTTTTATATTTACAGGTAATGAATTCCAGATTTTAAGGCCTTTTATGTGTATTGAGTTTTTGCATAGCGTGAGATGGACACGAGGAACATCAAAGAGTGATCTGTGCCTTGTGTTATGGTTATGTGTTCTGTTGAGGTTGGCAAGGAGATGTTTGAGGGGAGGGTTAATATCAGAGTTAAGTGTTCTATGTATGTAATAGGTGCAGTAATAAGTATGGATGTTTTGTATGGTGAATAGGTTGAGTGTTTTGAATATTGGTGGAGTGTGCTGCCTGTAGTGAGAATTTGTTATCATTCTAACTGCAGCCTTTTGTTGGGTAATTAGTAGTCTGAAATGGTTAATTGTTGTTGAACCCCATGCACAAATTCCATAGGTGAGATAGGGGTAAATAAGAGAGTGATAAAGGGCCATGAGGGCTGACTGTGGAACATAGTACCGTATCTTCGATAGTATGCCTACAGTCTTGGAAATTTTCTTAGAAATTTGTTGTATATGTGTATGAAATTTGAGTCTATTATCAAGGTGGATTCCTAAGAATTTTCCCTCTGTTAGCTTTGTGATAGGTGATCTGTTTATCGTTATGTTAAGAGGGACATCTGTAGCTCTGTTACCAAACTGAATGAAGTAGGTTTTGTCAATGTTTAGTGTAAGTTTGTTAGTCCTCATCCAGGTAGATATTTTCTGTAATTCGGTGTTTACAGTATTGGCTAGCGTGACTGGGCTCGGGTGAGAGAAGACGTATGTAGTGTCATCTGCAAAAAGTGTGGGTTTGAGTAATTGCGAAGCATTTGGTAGGTCATTTATGTATAGGAGAAAGAGAAGAGGGCCAAGGACACTTCCCTGTGGGACACCAACTGTAATTGGTTGTGCGGAAGAGCTTGCCCCATTTGCGTACACATATTGGCTTCTGTTGCTGAGGTATGACTTGAGGTAGTTGAGGGAGTGCCCTCTAATACCATAGTGTGACAATTTTACGTGGAGCAAGTCATGGTCAACTGTATCAAAAGCTTTACGTAAGTCAATGAAGATCCCCAGTGGGACTTCTTTTTTCTCTATTGCAGTGTATATATGTTCTAGCATGTGTATAATAGCATCATTAGTATTTTTATTAGGCCTGAATCCAAATTGGCAGGGGTTGAGAATGTTATGGGAGATGAGGTGGGAGTAGATTCGTTTATGAATTAATTTTTCGAAGATTTTTGAGAGAGGGTGTAAATTGGATATTGGCCTATAGTTATTCAACTCAGTTTGGTCTCCTCCTTTATGGATCGGGGTAACCCTTGCTATTTTGAGAGCTGTAGGGAAGGTGGAGGATTCAATGGATTTGTTAAAGAGTGTTGCAATGATTGGTGATAGTACTTGTGACACTTTTTTGTATATAAAGGGTGGTAAGGTATTTAAATCTCCTGCCTTGTTTTTTAGTGCGTTGATAATAAGGGAGACTTCGTATGGGTTAGTCGGAGCTAGGAACAGTGTGTTCGGGTAGTTGCCAGTGAGGTAGTCATTTGGTGGGGTATCTGAGCTTGGGATTTTATTGGCAAGGTTTTTTTCCTATAGTGGAGAAGAAATCATTGAGTCTGTTTGCTGTTTCTGTTGGTGGGAGTTGGGGTTCATCTGATTTTGCTAATTTTATTTCACTATTTCGTGATATCTTTTTTGTTCCCAGAATTTCTGATAGGGTCTTCCAGGTCTTTTTATATCACCTCGTAAGTTGGATAATCTGTTCTCATAATACAGTTTTTTTGCCCTTCTTATCAGGCTGGTTAGGATTGACGAGTAACGTTTTGTTTGGTCTCTGGTTATGTGACCCATTCTGTACTGTTTTTCATATCGGTGTTTTGTATTTATGGATTTGAGAATGCTGGGTGTTAGCCAGGGACTGTTCAGTCTCTTAGCTGTCATCTGTTTAGTTTTTTAGGGCAGTGCTTGTTATAGAGGTATTGGGTCTTTTTTAGAAAATTATTAAAACATTCGTCAATATCTGTATAGATTTCTAACTCAGTGTGCCAGTCAATGTTTGTTACTGCTGTTGTGAAGTTATTAATGGCTGCCTCATTGTGAAGTCTGAAGGTGACTTTCGTAGTGTCTTGGGGTATTTTACCAAGAGTTGTTATGAGGAAAGTAGGGTAATGGTCTGTGGTATTATCTGTAATTATGCCTGATTTTAAAGGGAATATGGTGTTGGTCCAGATGTGGTCAAGTAGGGAAACACTAGTCTCCGTAATTCTTGTAGGTTTTGTTACTGTTGGTAGCAACATGCAGTTACTCATTGTGTTTGTGAATTCAGTAACGTGTGGGTCCTGGTCTTGCAGGAGATTTATATTGAAGTCACCTGAGAGTAGTAAGTGATCTTTGTTCATGTGTGCATCAGTTATCATACTTCCTAGGTTTTGACTAAATTGGCTAATGTTTGATTGTGGAACTCTGTAGATGTTTATCACTGTGAGAGGTTTTTGTAGGTATTTGGATTTGAATTTAGCTATTATATATTCCCCATGTTCATCCCTTGTGCAAGTATTAGTGATACAATTGGTACCTGAGGTGTTGCTGGAAGGGGATTCCCCTTCCAAACTGTAAACAATCCAATCTCTCTCCTCCTCCAGTCTCCCATACACTAAGAAAAATCTCCAATAAAGGTAAGTGTTATGCTGTTAATGTTCTATTCATCATTTCCCATTGTATTGGTTATGTACTACATGTATATTTCATGTAAATTTTTTTTTTTTGTTTTAATACTTCTGGGTGTCAGGAACGGATTAATTGTATTTACATTATTTCTTATGGGGAAAATTGATATGCAAATCGTAAATTTCGTTTATAGTAGCTCCTCCAGGAACGGATTAATTACGAAAAACGAGGGACCACTGTATAAGCATTTTCATTTATCCATCGATGATTAATATATAATAAACATGTTACTAACATATTAACATGATAAATAGACCCACGGTTCATATATGCTATGGAGAGGATTATTAGTTTGCTTTTGGTGTTTTCTTTTTTAACCCTAGAAGTTGAGATTTTAAAAAAGAAATATCTGTAGAATCATTAAGTATTTGAATAGTACTTTTGCTTGGAGTTATTACTAATCTTTTTGAGGGTTGTAGAGTACTGATTTCTTAGTAATCCCTTACAGGTTTAATGCTTCCCCATGATCATAGGTTTTTGTAAAATGCAGTGGTATGTTTCTAGGTATTTTTTTTTTTCAGAGTTGGAGGTTATAAGAGAAGAGCTAAGTCAACTGCTGACTTCACATTCTCATGTTACTCTCCATGATCATCTCTTTGAGTCATTCACAGTTCGTTTAGATCCCCTGTACATGCATAATAAGAAAGTACGCCCAGCCATTCAGTGCATTTTGGTACATTTCATCAATTCAACTCTGAGATATCTGGATTTTGGAAAAGCAAAGATGTTTTCAGAAGCTAGTATGTGCAAGGTTAGTTTTTCATTTGTTTTACTGAAGCAGTTAATTGTCTATTATGTGTACTTAGTTGTGATTACATGATTTGTCAGTATGTAATTACATTAAAAGAACTGTGCTCGTGGTATCATTTTTCTAATATTGAGTTCTAGATCATTCTGCCTGAAATGCCTCAGCATGATAGTGGCTTTCTTTGTACCAATCAGATTATGAAATGTAAACACACATGCAGCCTTTGCAAAGAAATAAACTTTTGATTTTGATTTGATTTGATTCTAGCAGTCTATCATTTTATTTGTGAAGAAATGTTTTCCAGCATCATTCTGACATCAACTTTTTCTCAACTTACAATCATTGTCTCTTGTTCTTTCTGTTCATGGTACTAAGCAACCTTTATCAATTTACTTATATCCATTTATGATCTTATATGAGTGTACATATCATGTTTCCTCTTGCTTCTCTCATCAACCAACAAGGGCATTTTCATTGCTTTTCATTATTCCTCATAACTCATATTTTTTAGCTCTGGGAATCTTTTGTAGTATGCCTTTGGTTAATTTCTATGTATTTTTTTTTTTCTGGTTCACCACTACTGCTATATAATCCACATTGTATAACATTTGTTATATTTTTCTAATTTCTGTCCAAGTCAAAGCCAAATTATATTTCTAAAAATTACAACACTGTATATATCAAAACTGTTTTGAAGTTTGCAAGTGTAGCATAAAAGCCACTCATTATGACATTTATGTGAGCTTGTGGTGACAGCTTCTAACCCTTTGCTCAATTGCTAGCGCACTCAGTTCACACATTGAGGCCCGTGGTTTGATCCTCGGTACAGGTGGAAACATTAGGACTTGTTTGAAAATGAAAATGGAAATGAAATGAAAATGTTTATTTCCTTGCAAAGCTTACAATATGTGGTTTACATATTACAAAATATTAATTACAAAGAAAGCCACTAGTATGCCTAAGCATTTCAGGCAGACTAATCCTAATTCTTGCCAACTACAGTGGTGCTCTGAGTTTCGAACTGCTCCCAACTCGACCAATTATGTAAGTGTATTTTTGGGGGGTCTGAAACAGACTAATTTACATTATTCCTTATGGGAACAAATTCATTCGGTAATGGCACTTGAACAGCCTTCTGGAATGAAAAAAGTTCGAAACTCAGGGTACCACTGTATTACAATTTAGCACAATTTAAAATAATATAATGGAAACGGTTATAAGTTTGAAGTAATGATTAAATAATTGAGCAATCATAAATTATTTAGGAATTTTTTTGAGTAACTTGTAGGTGTTATGTATATTGTTTGTCTGGTTAATTTTGGGTGATAAGGTGATTTCTAAGTAGGGCCTTAAATTGATTAGCAGGCAGGGGTCCTTTAGTGTGTTCTGGCAATGAATTCCACATCTTCAGGCCTTTTATATGCATAGCATTTTTGCATAGGGAGAGATGGACATGAGGGATATTGATGAGTGATTTGTGCTTTGTGTTATGCCTGTGTGTTCTGTTGTAGTTATCAAGGAGTAGTTTGAGAGGAGGGTTAATATTTGAGTATAATATTCTGTGTGTAGTAGACACAGTAATAAGTGTGGATGTTTTGTATATTAAGCAAGTTAAGACTCTTAAAAAGCGGTGGAGTGTGCTGTCTAGTGCAGGAGTTGGTAATCAATTGCACTGCAGCTTTGTTGAAAGAAGATTTATATGTAGCAACAATATTTATATGTATACATTGATTTTTTAATGCCAGAATTATCATTTTCAGGTATTGTTTGAGCATTTGCACAATGCAACACGGCTAGATAAACTTGTCATTGGCAGATCCTGCTACTGGAGATCACAAATTTTTGAAATGCTAAGTGCCAAGTTGGTTTGTATGCCATATTTAACTATTTTGAAAATCCAGTATATAGGTACTCCTGAAATGATACATGATTTATCAAGTATTTGCCCCAAATTATGTGAGTTGTCACTTAAAGGTTCAGAAAAGATAACAGATCACCAGTGTGAGGAAATTGCTAAGTGTACTGGGCTCGTGTCCCTTGATATTTCTGGCACAAGAATTACTGGAAGAGGATGCTGGAAAATTTTAGACTCTATAAAGAATTTATCATGGCTACACCATTGTGCCTTCAATTGCAATTCAGATTCCATTGTATTTGAATCTAGAGCAGACCTATTTAACTGTATTAAGAAACAGTTACAGCATGGAGAAAATGCCTTACCACTTGTTGATCCCCAAGTGCTTAATGTTAGGGATGTCAGATTCAACTTGAAGAATTTTTGGCTCTTCAACCCATTCACTGAGGATTTACTTACTACAGTTCTTTGTCCATGTTTGGAGCATCTCCGTCTGGATTTTGTCTTCCAGGACTTAGGAGAGGAGCCAGATGTGTCAATACTCTCATCTCTTTCTAAGGTTACTCCCTTATTTAAGAATTTTGTGATTTTATTGTACATAAATTAACCCTTTCACTGTCCAGACACACAAAATTAATATTGTTCTCAGTGTCCACTTTAAAAAAAATTCTTCTAAAATAGTAGAGAATTTTTTTTCTGAAGGTAACAGCACCAAAAGTATGAATTTTGATGGAAACTTACAGAATTACTCAGATGTAAAGTGCAATTTATGCATCGGTAATTTTACCGGCTTTGAGTCCTATTTTAAATTAAGCCTATTCCATTGCTCCATTTGATCAAATTCTTGGATATTTTGCTAGTGTGCCTTCCATTCTGTTAACTGAGCACAACAAATCTTCCATTCAACTATTTCAAATACTCTATAAAGTGCACAGAATTTGGTAATTTGGCCAATTTTACACAAAATTAAAACAATAACAAAAGTTCATAATAAACAATGTAGATATTCCTGGCACTGAAATATTTCATCTGTTTACTAATCATGTCACTAGGCCTCTCCTATCTTACACTTGCTTTCCATTTTGAATTCATGATCACAAAAAATAGAATATTTACTCTATTTCTTCAATAATAAAATATAACCAGGAATGGTCATGGTTTACAGTGTACCAATGATTTAGTCATACCTATTAAAAAACCATAAAACAGACTGAGGGCTGTAGGGAGGCCTTAACTGTCCTCAGTAAAATCTGCAAAAATTTAATATTTCCACTACTTTGAACCCAATTTCAAGCTACTTCTGGTCAGTAGTATGACTTCCATTCTGTCAAATGATACCAAGAAATCGCCAATAAAATCATAAAAATCATCCTAGAAAACACCTCATAGTCGCTATTTAAAACCAAATACTACATGGTCTGAGTTTTGTTTTCCCATCATACACTACATGAGGCAGGATTCTTTTTGTTGTGCACACTCACCACACGGACCTATTCTCTCATGTCTAGGCCAAAATTTACCACTCGCAGTTTATATGAGTGAGGTGAGCTCATGACAGAACTACATGAGGGACCCTGGCCTCAATGACATAGTTCTATGTGATGGCTACTGAAAGGGTTAATTCCAGTATAGTACTAAAATTAAGAATAAAACTGTGAATTTTTATTAAATTTAACAACTTTTTATTAATTTTAACAACATAGATACAGTAGACCATCGATTACCATGGTAATTGCATTCCTGAAAATGCAATATTAGACAAATCAGTGTTAAATTGAAAAACTTATGAGAAAATTAGGGTTATGTTCCTAGGATCCCCAAAAGAAAAGAGTCAAACAGTTTTTTTTTTAGTTCTCCAAATCTTACAAAAATAAAAATGATAATGTAATTGTTGTTCATTGTCCTGATGTACAGTGGTACCTTGACTTACGAGTTTAATTCGTTTCATGACCCAGCTCACAGCTCAATTTGCTCATATATCAAATAAATTTTCTTCAATGAAATTAATTGAAATGCCATTAATCCGTTCCAGGAGAATTCCTGGCTCTTGGGAGGCAGGAGAAAATACTTCAGTATAATGCTATTATCAACTCTATGGCTTATCTATCACAATTGATCTAATATGACATAAACATTATATAAATAAAATAAAAACATGATATATACTCTAGAATGAATAAAATATGTCATTATGTGACGAGTGGTGGCTGCCACTCCTGAGGTAAAAATAATTATCGCTCTGACCATATCTTCCCATTCTTGCCTGTCTGAGGTATTATTATAAGAGAAAATGGAGTGTTTGTGAGGCTTGCTGCACTAGATCACTAGTTTCATAAGGAAAACACAAAGCAAAAGAAGTTTTCTCGGAATTTTTTCTTTTTTCCCAAGTCAGGAGACCGGCCTACGTTTTGGGTGAATATCTCGGAAGTAAATCAATGTAAATGCCTCGTGCCTTCTCGCAGAGAAGGCACAAGGCATATGTTCCACTTAACATAACACTAAATGGACCACCCATCACAAGACTCACAGAGGGAAAATTCCTAGGAATCCACCTAGACAGTAGCCTCAAATTCCAGACACATACCTGGAGTTTACCTGGAGAGAGTTCTGGGGGTCAATGCCCCCGCGGCCCAGTCTGTGACCAGGCCTCCTGGTATACAACAAATTTCCAAGAAAATCTCTAAGACAGTAGGCATACTATCAAAGATATGGTACTATGTTCCACAATCAGCTCTCCTTGCACTGTATCATTCACTCATCTACCCTTATCTCACATATAGAATTTGTGCATGGGGATCAACAACATCAAATCACCTAAGACCTCTAATAACCCAGCAAAAAGCTGCAATCAGAATGATAACAAATTCTCACTCACGACAGCATACTCCACTTCTATTCAAAAGTCTAAATTTGCTCACCATAAAGAACATTCACACTTATTCATGTGCCTACTACATACATAGAACAATACACGCAAACATAAACCCTCCACTCAAACTTCTCCTCACCAACCTTAACAGGATACATGACCATAACACAAGACACAGATCTCTTTTGATGTACCCCGTGTCCATATCACACTGTGTAAAAACTCTATGCACATAAAGGGCCCCAAAATCTGGAATTCATTACCAGAACATACTAAAGTAACCAGGCCTGAAAATCAATTTAAGACTCTTCTAAAAAACCACTTACTCGCCCAGGACAGGACTAAATAATCAACACTCAATATTTAACATAACCAATAAATCTCCCAATTACCTAAATCTTAAAACTTCAAGACAACATACAGTAAATTGATCATCTTGTTTGTTATACATTGTAATGTGACAAATTTGTACAACTATAATGCTTCAAAATCGAAATGTTCAAATTTCATTGTTTCAAATGCTCAATTGTACTTCATATTGTCCTAGGTAGTAGGTTGGTAGACAACAACCACCCAGGGAGGTACTACCGTCCTGCCAAGTGAGTGTAAAACGAAAGCCTGTAATTGTGTTACATGATGGTAGGATTGCTGGTGTCATTTTTTCTGTCTCATAAACATGAAAGATTTCAGGTACATCTTGCTACTTCTACTTACACTTAGGTCACACTACACATACATGTACAAGCATATACTATATACATACTCCTCTGGGTTTTCTTCTATTTTCTTGCTAGTTCTTGTTCTTGTTTATTTCCTCTTATCTCCATGGGGAAGTGGAACAGAATTCTTCCTCTGTAAACCATGCGTGTCGTAAGAGGCGACTAAAATGCCGGGAGCAAGAGGCTAGTAACCCCTTCTCCTGTATATATTACTAAATTTAAAAAGAGAAACTTTCATTTTTCTTTTTGCGTCACCCTGCCTTGGTGGGATACAGCCGGTTTGTTGAAAAAAAAAAAAAAACTTCATATTGTAAATTGTTTATGGTAATTTTTACCGCTGAACCTTTCATTGCTTAGTTAATCTTAAGTTAATTTAAAGCGTGCCCATAATGCTCTGCATACAAGGGTCTTTTGGTATGTACACCCAACTACTATAATTCCTTGTACAACTATGTACCATGTCCAAATAAACTATATGAATATGAATATGAATATGAATGTATAGTTTTTACATATTTAGGTGGGGCTGGGATAGGCTAGGGAGATAAAGTGTTTTTTAACGATTGTTTTGAAAAGGCTGTCTGAGTCAGTGCTTCTGGAGATTTCTGGCAGAGTTCCAGATTTTGGGCCCTTTTATGTACATTGAATTTTTGAAGAGATTTAGGCAGACATGGGGAATTTCATAGAGATTTTTGTGCCTATGGGTCCTGTTACAACTATTAAGAAAGCACTTCAGGTCAGGATTGATCTTAGAATTTATTATTCTGTAAATGTAGGTTGCACAGCAGCATGAGTGACTGTTTTGTATAGTGAGTAGGTTTAGGTCTTTGAAGAGTAGGGGCATTGTTGTCTAGCAGTGAAATGTGTGATCATTCGCACTGCAGCTTTTTGTTGGATAATAATATTATTAGCTTTAGGTGATTAGCCATTGTGGATCCCCAGGCACAAATAGCATAGGTGAGGTAGGGGTAGGTGTGTTGGATATGGGTGTTGAATTTCAAGTTGCAGTCAAGGTGCAGACCCAGAAAATGTTGTTTTAGAGCCAGGAATGTCTGCATTGTTCATTCTGGACCCTATTTTAAAATTGGCATTTTTTAATTTGTGTGAAATTGACCAAATTGCCAATTTCTGACCACTTTATCAGGTAGTTGAAATCAGTAAATGGGCAGTTTCTCGTACTCAATCAATAGAACAAATGGAATTCTAAATAAATAGCTATGAGTTTGGTCGACTGGAACAATGGAATTAGCCGAAAATAGGGCTCAAAGTGGGCAAAATCGCCAATTCGTAAATATCGCCGAGGCCGCTTACTTCACGAGAATGTAATTCCGTAAGATTTCCATCAAATTTCGTACTTTTGGTGTCATTACCACCAGGAAAAGATTCTCTATCATTTCATAAGAATTTTTTTTTTTTCAACTATTTTGCGACACCAGGAGACACGAAGATTTGGGGTTGCAACAGTCAAAGGGTTAATGGTGAAATAAGTTAATGAATGATGTCTCCTCTTGAAGTTGAAATGAGATTTTACTGGTGTCTTAAGGCAATTTACATAAGTTGGCTATGTGGAAGGTAAGGTATTGGTCTGTAGTGTTGTCTGTGATTATCCCAGATTTTAGTGGGAGTATAGTAGTGGTCCAGATATGGTCAAGTAACTAGGCACTTGTCTCAGAGATTCTTGTTGGCTTAGTTTTAGAAGGTAGTAGCAAGCAGTTGTTCATAGTATGTATGAAGTTGTCTACTTGAGGGTCTGCTGTTTGGAAAAGGATGGAAATTGTACAAGACACATATATGGAGCACTGTGACAGGGTGGCAGGGAGGGAATCTAGGCCTGCCCTGCAAAGACAGTGGCCTGACCCACAGGCAGACTGCTCAGGAACCCACTAGACGGAGGAGAAAAATTCCGCAGTCCAGTTCACGGCAGTCCAATCCCCCCCCCATCCCCCCAAGAAATGGAACCATGTTAGTTGA